ACAATCTATGTGCTGCACCGTTGTAACTTCGCTTGGTGAGGCCGGCCTCTGGGTCATGCTGGTAGTCCCGAGCCATACTGTATGGAGAGTATACATGTTCTGTCCTAGGGTTGTATCTTGTTTCATCCTCACTGAAGTCTCGGGGGCTATTTACTCCATCTCTTACGATGATTCACATAGGGTGCTAGAACAATCAAGGCAATTATTCTGTAACTGACACCAGCAGTACTAGAGGTGCAGTTAGTAGCAGCAAATTAATAGGTGCTAGTATTGACAGTTTCTTCCAAGCTACGCATCTTATACCGCCATTCCCGATTATATGCAGCATGATGAACACTTGTCTGTTTTCTTTCTCACCATTATCTGCGCCAATGTACGCGTGGAATCGCTTGTTTGATTCTTAAATTACCTCCCACATTTACGAATTCTCCTTAAATGCAAGGCTCCAGGAAGAATTACTACTGTAATACGATGGTTATTTATCCCTCGGTATTGGTAAGGCGCCACTTTTGGACTTTCGGAATGGCCTTCTTGTACCACGCTAAGTGGGCTGGCCTTCGGGCCTTGCCCAAACACCTCTCTGTGCTGAGTACATATTCTGCCCGAGTATTGTGTCTTCCTTCGTCTTCAGGGAAGTCTCGGGACGCTACAACTACAGTGCACAAAACTTCAGAAAATTTGTTGAGCACACCCTTCCCGCGTATTTTTTTATAGTGGGATGACAGTGAGTAACACAAAGGGGTCTTACGTCCTCAGTGACTTCTCTGTCGGGAGCATCCTTACTTTCATACAATCTGCCGGAGCCAAGTCACCGTGAGATTTTGTATTTTATGAAGGATAAAGATGGGTTGAAAAAGGGTATTGTTAATGGAAGTGCGAATAGGCATACCACCTTTGAAGCATGATTAAAGCACACAGGTAGGGTGTATACCAACGTTAAACCACCTTTAGCAGAAAAATGAGGCATATTATTATATTATCTGTTTAGTATGAAAATATTATGATGCATAAATATGAGCATCCAGGGGGTTGGTTCACCAGAATTTCATGTACGTAATCAGGGAACAACAATCAATCCTATAGAATCATGCACTTAGAGTAGATATATATAATAGTTGGCAGTTTTACTAGGTGTTTGTTTAGGCGGCTGGTTTGGATGAATCGGCGCAGCTGGGCTCCTGGGTTGGTACAGCTATAAGTCGCGTTTATGCTTACGTCTTTTGTTCTTCTAGTGACCTGACTTGCTTAGCTGCTCAGGGTTTTTTAATACAGATACAAAGCTGTGATTGTTATTTACCTCATAGCTTGTAAAATCGGAGTTCTTGACCTATGTTTTGTGACATTTCCTGTTTTTTTTTAATAATTCCCTCACTATCTCTTTACAATACACTCTGACATTCACCCTTAAGTTACGCCAGGTTGTACTAGTTTTCGGTCATTTCGGTCCGCATTATTCTTTCCTCTGCTTTGGTTTCCACAGCTGTGATTTTTTTTTACTGACTTATGGAGAACAAAGAATCCTTTTCCGGTGATTCAATTTGCTTTACACAAAATTTGTGCAGAGTGTTGTGTTTTAATGCCAGCATGCGTTCACCTTTTGAAAGAATTTTCTTTTCAGATGGGGGAAACTAATTCGAAGGTGGCATTCGAAATTTGTGTGGTGACGGTGGATTTCCTAGGCAGCAGCCTCGGTCCGGGCATCAATATGGTCATGTTCGACGATAAAAATAACCAATCCCCGGTTATTGCGTTGGACCACATTTTTCAAAATGAGCTGGATTATCACCAAGCCAAATTCACCATTGATCTCCAGCCGTGGAGCAAGCCAAAGGTAATTTTCAGATGTAAGCACGCCTTTCTTCCGAGATTTGACCGCTTCGACTGTGGTTCACCGACTCTAAGTTTGATAGATTACCAAATTAAACTGGCGTTTTGTTCCTCACCCAGAGGCTGTACCTCATCATTTCTGTCATTGCTTTCGGTTTCTATTGGCCATCTTCTTTGTGAGTCTTCCTTATACTGGCCTTTTAAGAAAATCCATTTTTCACTTCATGTACTTTGTTGGATCTAAAAACCATTGTTGCCATCAGTAAAGGATCTCTACTGGTTTGTGAGCATAAAATTTAAAATGTTCACTTGATGCTGATTCACCGACCCTCTCAGCTGAGGCCCTCGATACAAGCCAACCGAACATTATGCTTCGGTCGAGCTAAATCCTTTGTTGCAAAGCATGCTTTTATTGTTTGCTACTTTCGGCCATTGGATGAATCATTTGTAGTCAGTTTTAGTGGACAGTATTAGCTGACGTAATTTCTGGTATTTTGATGGGTTCTCATTATCTTTTTTTAAAGACTTGATCACGTTTACTAGTCGTCCGATTCAATGTCGATGACTTTTGACTTTTTGTTTCTTTCAATGCAAATGTTTTTACTGCAGTGAGTTCCAAAGTCCGATGAATGTAAACCAAAGGAAATTGTGGATTCCAAGACCTAAATACTCTAAAATGCATAGATTTTGGGTTAAAATAGACCGTTTTAGCTACGATCGTTACCTCCGCCAATCTCTTCTCACTGTTTTCACCGGCGTCACCAAGCGCCTGGCTTTGTTGGTTTTAAAAATTATCGTTGCTTTGAAATTTGTCCCTCCACTATTCACTTTTGCGGTGGGGTCTTTATAGTTAGTTTTCATTTCCAGTGGATGCCTTTAGAACTAGTCTGCTTATAAATTTATAATTTTCCAGGAAGAACTTTTTTAAATTAGGAAATCAAATAATCTTAGGAAGTCCCTTAAGGTATGTTTGTACTCGTAAAATTTATTTTCCCCCTCCAACGAGACCTAAGTCAGCTGCGAAGTAAGAAATTTGCCCCTGGTCACTTCCATTTCTGTCTTACTTTTACTTCCCAGTCATAGTTTCTATTCTGCATGTGACCACGCTTTTGTAAGGAGCTAGCACCAATGTAAGGTGCTCATCATTTAGTGGAATATCGGCAGCAGAATCCAGAGGATGAGGTGCAACAGCATCTCCCTCCTCTCTCATCGTACCCCAGAGTATGGTGTAGGGTCTTCTTACTGGTAGGGCCTGTGTTGAAATAAAGCAGGAGGTTTCGCATTGTCCTACGTAGGCAGCATTCCCCTCCCATTGACCAGTTCACCGTGGGTGTTTCTCAAGGAAAAAAAATTCGTCTTTTCTTTCGCATTTAAGCTCTATCGTATTAAGTAGGAAGATTTCAGGCGTAATTGTTTGCCTTTTAGCCAATGAATAGTCCAGACTAAATTTGTAGCAAAAGACGGCATAAACGCTGAGGAAATAAGAGATTAGCGCTGATTTGGTTCAAACATTCGTGGGCGTCATTTCCCAGTCATACCCTCATGGAAACTTAAACGGTGGTAGGTCTGTACACGGAATCGTTTGCAGTTATAAATTATGGCTAAATTTTTCGTGCGGAATGCACTATTTTGCAAAAATACCAGGCAACCGAAATATTCTTGCACATTTCGCAAAACCTGCTTGTTTGAGTGAGTGAGGAGGCAATTTCATCACCTTTAAAATGAGATATGGACCTGAACTGACCCTTAATTAATGAATAATAGATCTTTGACACACATGGCTTCTTACACCTGTTATCAGCATCTTTCGTGAAAGTCCTGAAGGACTGCCTCTTCAATTCATCCAGATACTGTCTTGGTCGTGCATCGCATCAAGGTGCCTTGAAGCATATCAACTAACTGTGTGTTTGTTCAACCGTTGGGCGTATAACTAGGCAACAATGAAGGTGCCTCTTCTGGTAGATGGCTTTATTAATGTGACCTAACCATTGTCAAGGTGGTGGTGAATGCTGTAGATGGGTTGGAAGCTGTCTCAGTAAAGGGTGGCGGTGGACACATCCATCTCTACCCCATGGATGAGTTTTTGTATATGCAGCAAATGCCGCGCCTCTGGTCATTTCAAAGTAATTTTTCATTTCTGATTAGCGTAGTGAAATGGCAAAGAAAATTATCCATTTCGAAGCATACTACGGGATTATTCAAATCAGACTGGGATAATTATTTAATCAAAGCAATAAAATAAACTAACTTCGATGCGTGAAATCTGCATTTACTCCTCTCCCACTTCTCACAATGTTTGGCTAATACTTGTACGACGGCTTCAATGTAGAAGAACGTAATATTACGTTTTAGCTATGAGTGTGTGTCCGGGTTAGTTTCCCCATCAGCGCTGAAATGCTGACCTTCGCATGCTTTCACCGTTTTGTTTCTCTTTTCGGTGTCTGGATGAACTTATTCGCCCCAGTTTTTCGGCGTCATAGTCAAGAAGTTACCTCCTACCTTATCGAGACTCTCATTTATTACAGCGCATAATTCAACTAATCTGTGCTGGTCAAAGTGGAAAGCCGCCTTGTTACCCGCCATCCGTCGATTTGCCAAAACCACACATTCGTGAATGACCGTATTGTGTTCATTGTTGAGCTGGATAGATCCACCCCTTGTGCAATTTGTCGTCAGGCTATGCGTTGACTATCTGATAGGGTAGTGAGCTGGAAATTGTCACTGCTGTACAGGTGTAGGCCCATACTTGATGTCTTTTGTAGATATTCACTGGTTTGGGGCTTACTTATTGCTTCGCAAGCTACTTCGTCAATTACTGCGGGCTTTTGTATGCACGGGCGCACTTAACCGTCCGAAGTAGCAGCGTACGGAACTGACTGGCCCACGAAATATGCATCGGTTTCATCATTCAATGACTTAATGATTCGTGCAGTGCCACTGCATGGATTTTCGTTTTTGAATTCGCAAATTTCAAATAGGGAATTGACTTTGACGACCGTCGCATCCAAGCGGGTTCAAGTAATGCGAGTTTATTAAATCCCAATAAATTTTCATCTTTATGTCATTTTCAGGCCTTTGGAAAGCTGCATCACATCGAGTTTTGGCGCACCGACGGTAGCAGTAATAGCACTGCGGACGGCGATTTCAACGTAGCGGCTTGGTACCTCGACCGCGTAATTATCCGTGACCGCCGATTTGGGTTGACCGGTGAGTGGGATTACTTCTTCTTTCCCCTACACGACTGGGTGGTGCCGGCAGCGCAGTACGTTCTACAGGACTGTGAGACATTTTTGCCGCAACAGGATCCCTATCCTGATTTGCGACACGTTCAGTTGGATCGAAGACAACAGCTACTTTACTTCATGCAGAGGGCGAGTGGACTTCCTGTTGAGGTGAGATGTTATTTAGGGCATTCTCATTTGTTAAATACCCAATTAATACGATTTGATGCCTTTGTAGTTCTAGTAAATGAGGTAATAAGGGATGTTGTAAAAGCACTTTGATGAATGGTAGAGCATTTATCCCAGATCCATTCATCTTTTTGTGCATCAGGGTTCATCTATCTCTGATCCGTCCATTCGTAAATGCGTGAATGGAATTTGGGCTTGCTAGCTTTACGTGCCAAATTCGACTTGGTTTCAAAGATGCCGCAAAGGCTTCGTAAAATTAGCTATGTAACATCTGCATAAGGAGATCCCGGTAATCGGTCATGTAGTACTATTTTGGAAGATTCTCTATTTATAATTATGAAGAAAGGGAGTACGTGTCTCTACTGATCCGTGAAAATGTGCCCAGGATCACGGCAAATATGAATGGCGGCGAAACGTTTCGCTTGCACCTACTTCAAATTCACACCGTTGATAAAGGATCGTTTTCCGACTGATTTGTGATGTACTTCTTGATTGAAGCTAATATCCACCCACTCGAGGGAAGAGTGAGGGCCGGTCAGTCAGTGGGAGGAAAGTGCTAGTCTTACAAGATAACACAAGATCTGATCTTGTTGCAAACTCCATCATTGAGAGGGTCTCATTATCACATATTGAGTTGAAATGAGATGGGAAGGAGGTGGTACTTTCACCGCTTGATAGCATTTCTTTGAATGGCTGTCCTCTCTCTTGCACAGTTGAACGGTTAAAAGTGGATCAGAAATGGCGATGACTAGGACCGAACTTTTTCCCCTCATCCGTTTACGCTAAGACCCTTTCGCTCGTCTGTTCCTTGTTCATTCATCCTGTTAAGATGGAGCCAATTGCAAAAGAATGATTGTGTAAAACTTTTGTCAAAACCCTTTCTTCAAAGAAATCCTCTCAGTAAATGGTGGAAACAATGACCTCGTGTATCCGTTTTGAGGGTTTGTTTTCTGTGGGAACTTTTTTGTGCACTCCTCTGTTCACACATACAATTTCTTCGAAAAAGTCGTATGATTGGTGCAAAGATTTTTTTGCGATTTTCCGTAAAAATTTGCTTTCACTTTCACTCTCCTGATTTTATTTCTTTTCCAATAGATTGCCGAGGTGCCTACGACGGAACTCTTCTCTTATGATTCTAGAGTGAGTTTAAATGCCAGTAATCATCCTTTTTTTTCTGGATTCAGTTAATATTTGATTCTTTCATCAGTCAATGGAATTATCTTTCATTTTGTAAACCACTAATCCAATCATTTCACTCATCAACCCATCTACTTTGGCTATCCATTCCTTTTGGATTGGCTCCTTCCAAATCTATATGTTCAACCAATTTGTACTCATACTTAGCTCGAACATCCATTTCTTACTCCTCCATTCATTTCGGATCTGCCCCATTACCTGCTCGTCCTGCATCCATTCATTCATTCTGGCTCCACACATCCATTCGCTTATTTACCCTCCTCTAGTTTGCTCATTCCGGATTCATGTATTCGTCCACTCACCCAGCCCCGATCCGCCTCTTTAATCCATACTTGAACCCTCCTATCCTCTCTAGTGGGATATCGAGGATGTCGTCTTGGAGCTGGTTGACCGAGTTGGTCTCGCGGTTGACTACAGCAGTGAGGAGTCTTGGGATTCCCTCGATTCCATCGGCGATCTCTACAAGCGTCACAATATCACTGAACCTTTGGTGTGTCCTCTCCCATGGTGCTTAAGTGCCCTGTCTCCTCCTCCATTTCATTAACATTGGTTGTGCTTAACGTCTCCAGAGTCTCTCCTACTGGATGATGAATGATGTGGCGTTTGGTGCGCAACGTTTGAAAGGCTGCAATCCCTTTGTTATTCGGTTGTGCACAGAATTCCCATCAAGGTAAGATTCAATTTCGCAAGAACATGGATTTACGTCTCATTGATAAGGCCTCAGGCTACTGTAGTAACGAATTTTAGGGCTGTATCAAGGGTGGAAAGGCTTGCTGCTTTTGTATCTCGCCACTCCATTAACGGACGAATCCAATGATGAGACTTATGGTCACTGGTAGTTGCTAGGGTTATATGTCGTCGTGAATTTGTGCGGCAAGGCTGTCACCTCTAGGTGTGATCACTTTCAATGCCATCTGCATTATTTTCTTTGCTACTTTTACACAAAAATGTAAACTAAATAGAGCTTTTATGGGGTTCTTTTCCACTATTTCATTATTAAGTCTTGTGCCTAACCGTGGTTGGAAGTGAGCAGAAATGCGTTTTTCTTTTGTGGAGGTGCTGTGATTTATGCGTTCGCTGTAAAGTGAGGAAGTGGTCGTACCACTGTTGTAATATATGCGAAAATGTAATATATGCAAATAGACAGGATATTTATTCCCACCGTCACGTATCTCTCCGGTACATCCACACTACTTCCCACGACAGCTTCAGGTAGTTCCCATGTCCCGTTTTTACGGGGGGAAATAGCTCGTTTATCGACTATATCCATCCAAGACACCCTACCATTGAACCGAAGACCTTTAGACGTACAGACACGGAAAGGTGTCCCGTTGTGGTGTTGGGTGGGCTCTACTGCAAGCGCTAGCAGATGGAGCACGTCGTCGTGGGCTGGCTTCTGGACTGGAAGTCCTTAATCGAGAGAGTAGGAAAGCCTTGACGACAATGTGTGTGGAGCAGCTTGTAAGCTTCCTATGATCGAAGACGTAAAACCTAGACCCGTAAATACCCACAGCAAGCTTTAAGCGCATCACGCTTGCTCCAAGACGTCTTGCAATTTCTTTGGCTAGCACAGACTAGTTAGATGATGCATTGTATTGAGCGAGCGTTTTGACAGGGAAAAAGGCAATTGTTTGACTACCTCACGACGCAAAAAAATAGGTTCCATCGCCTCACCCTGATGCCGAAATGAGCGCCGAAGAGGTGGAAGTGTGAGGGGGACAACAGCTTGGTCCCGATGACGAAGTGAAGCCAACTGTCCGCGTATGCTTCAGACACCATCAAGCATTTCGACGTTGGAGCTTTTATGAGTGCAATGTAGATGTAGAGAAGAGCTACACTAGACAAACCGGATGCGGTTTTCCCCTCCTCTTAGAGTTTGTTATCGCTTATATGTCATTTCAGGAATCCTGGTCTGACTTACACGCAAGTGTGAGCGCGTCCTCCTTCTGACTACAAAGCACTTGATCCACCGCAAAGGGTTTTGACATGTATGAGATGAACGGATGGAAAGATAGGCAGGGAATGGACGGATGGATGGATAGATGGATGGATAATTAAATAGCCGAGTGGAGATAATGCAAGCTGATGGTTTGTTGATAAAAAGTATGGTGTTAGAAGTCCATCCTCACGTCTGGAGACTTGAACTGAGAATGCAATCGAATTGATGCGGACGAACAGAGGTGGGTAATGCCAGACACTTCCGCCACCTGATCTTCACCAATAATTCACGATGCAACTTCAATTTTTGACACTTTTATTCGGTGAAAAAAGTACTGTTTCATCCAACCACCTTCTAGGGGTAGAATCGACGCTTGTGGAGTTCGTAGTCCCATGGAACCCCAGTTCTTCGATGATAGGGTTCATAGATGTCCTCCGGAAAAAATTTTGGGCGCCGCCATTCTTTATTCAATAGGTTATCTAGCGCGAAACTCATTGCTCGGCTGGTAAGGATGTGTTCGTCTTTTTTGGCCACTACCCAGGGATTCTTCCTATCAAAAAATAACAACATCTTCTTAAAAGTGTTGTTGGGGCCACAAGAATCTATTTTTATGGGAAAAAAGCATCTAACTAACTTGAACTGCTCAACATTTTGATAATGTCCGCGGCAAACAGTCAGCAGGTCTCTGGATTTGCATAAAACAGGTGGAAATGACAACGGAGACTTGGTGATTTATTCTTTTTAAGCCTGTTACCTACCTGCCCTTACTCAGAAAATCGGCAGCCGCTACAACCTTGAGATAAGGATAACCACAAAACCTACGCGTAAAAGCATGACCTTCTATTTCACCATCATAAGGATATCCTCAGCGCAAAAATAAATTCATCGCCATCGCAGAGGCACTGAAAATTGCTGCACTATCCACGAAGGTGGAATAAACGCGTTGGGGAGTGGCAAAGTAGCTCAAACTCTTCGGCGTCTGTTCACACTACCATTGTAGAGAGAATGGGAACGTTGGCGATTGATTTGATTTGGCTGCTTCCAGAAGCTCCTTCAAAAGGCCCCCACACTTGTGCACACCGCAGTGAAACAGTACACTCCACGTGGGAGGACTGGCTATCTCATTACAGAAAGCTATCCCAAAGCACGGATGCTTCGCATGCAACACTGCCGAGGTTAAATAACCCCATGTTTTGAGCAGGGAAGCAAAGTGCTTTTCCGCATTTGATCGAGGAGAA